CTTTCCCGCACACGTCGCTTTCATTCCTAAAATATGTTATTGCCAATTTTCTGCGCGAACTTCACACCCGCCATAACTCATGAACCGTACTGTAAATAAAAGCATATTTTATTCATTTGTTCATAGAAAGGCCACTGACAGTATACACGTCCACGCATGGAGCTAAACCAAACCAGATTATCATGGTCTTTGTTTATCCTCTCTGTACATTCAACGGTCAGTTTATACTGGTTTATCATAGCTTGATGTGTTGTTATGTGTCCTATGTTTTAGGGAGATAGGCTACCTATTTATTTAGGAACAGAGCAGTGATATAGAGCTCGTACACAAAACTGCGATGCGACGTCGCATCGCAACGCATCTCAAGAACTTGTGAATTGATTCGCATCGCGCATCAAAATTTTGTCTTCCCAAAATATTCTTTGTTTCTTTTTCCTGTATCTCCTAAGCAATAACAGAAGTGCACACTTCTTTTTACGATCCATGTCACGACCAAGTTTTCAATTTAAAATACGTTTAGTACGGTTGACGGTCGTCGAAGGAATGGTTACCCTGGGAGACGCCATGTCGCACGAAATCGCATCGTAATTTTTTGCGTTGCGAATTCGCATCGTATTGCAGTTTTGTGTACGAGCCCTAAATCCATACAATATTTAGTTTTTATACCCGACACAATGATGGAAGTATACAGTGGTATTTATTATTTGAAGATATAATTATTATATGTATAGATATTTACACTCTATTTAAAAAACATGAGAACAATTTTTGGTTATTATTATTCAATTTTGACCTTCATTGCGTTGAGTATAAGGTAGTTGCTATAGATAGTTGCTAAAGATGTACAGATTGATGTAAATTTTGCTAAATACCTATGTATGTACATTATAAATTGACTCTTAGTATCTCTGCAATAAAGTCCAAAATTGAAGTTTTTACATTTTCAGGGCAAACTAGGTTAGTCTGCCTGATGTAAAGCAGTTACTGTAGTTACGTCTGTAGCACCAAGACTGGTAGACAGATTTCTTTACTCGATTTTCAACCCCATGTGTTCGTACTAAAGTTGAAAACGTATTAATGAGAGGCTTAACAAGCATTCTTCTACTTTAGTTTTTATTAGTGTTATTTCAAATAGAGTGTTAGCAATAGGAACAGTTTTAAAGGACAAATTGCCTTCTTATGAAAGGAATTAATCACCAGGGGGCGCTAATGTGGACTAAAATCTTGTCTAGAATAAAAAAAAACATTATCTTCGGGGATAGTGTAGATAGTAGATCCGCGGAATTAGCAGTGGATGATTCCGTGTATTAGACAATGTCTAATTCAAGTTTTCACAGAATAATCCCGTAAAATCTTAATAGGCTGCCACCGCCTTGACACGAGTTTATTTCGACTCATTTTTAATAAAATGTGTTTCAAATTCATTAAATTAATAAAGTTATTAAGTTTTAACCTTCGACCAGTGGCGTAGCATACCTTGGCGGGGTCCCGTATAAAAATTTGTTTGGGGGCCCTTATGAAAGGTAAAAATCTCTGAAGAGATTAAAAAAAAATACCTTCTCTGCCCAAATTATCGGACAATGATTAGGTACTTTAGTTTTTCCATGGTTTCTGCTAACCTTTTAACACATGCATTTTGTGATACACGACTTGATGAAAACGCTAGATACGGCAGTAGCTACGCCCCTGCCTTCGACTGTAAAACTGGATCTATCGCAGATACGCGGCCTTTATGTTTGGTAGATTCGCGGATTTGCACAATCCCCGTCGATATTACGGTATATATTCAAAATTACACCCACTTTTCACCAATTATGACACTTGCGTAGCGAACTATTCGTAGAGGCACATGACTATAAGCTACACTAGCGCCACCTAGTTAGTGCAAAAACGGTAGTTTTGTTGATTTTGTTAATATTTTGTTTGATAAAAGACTACCTTGTTGGTTAAGTACAAAATGTTTATATAGATAATTAAATCTGAAGAATTGATTATTTGTTTGAACGTATTAGTGTCTGAAATTAGGCAGTTTGATTTGAATCACTCTTCTATTTATACATACATACATAACTTTACGCCGGTCTCCCATGGGTGTCTATATCCTATTTATTTAACAATCTTATTGTTGAGGAAAGTCTTTCATCAAGCTACAAAAATTATGTTTGTTTTTCAGGATCAGGATCTTAATACACAAAGGGTTTCTTGGTTAAAAAGTGTTATTCTCATTCTCAACTTAACATAACATCACGCCTAGGCAGAGATGCACATTATGCCACTGTACAATGTAACACCCACTTTTCACTATTTATATTATGAGTCCCATGTAATAAGGGGTGAGCCTATTGCCATTTACCGGGCACAATTCCAGACTGTGTGCTACTACTGAAATTTTTTAAAACCCAGTAATACTTTGCCCGACCCGGGAATCGAACCCCAGACCCCTTGCCCGGCAGTCGCACTTGCGACCAATCGGCCAACGAGGCAGTCAAGTCAGTTTCTCATGCTCTTGAAAGGTACCCTTTGCATATTACTACCGGCTCTATGTAAATCATGCATTAATTTTGAGGTGGGCAGAACTTATGACCACAATTAACTCGTTGAGTACCATCATTATAGACACAATTAAAGAACAATAGGTTGCGGTCACCGGTGACCGCTTGGTGTTTGACAGTTTAATGATATGGACACATTATTATTATCAGTTCTATACCATGCAGTTGTCGCGGAGAACCTAAGGGGTTACCGGGGCTCCGGCTCGACGTGCAGGAGAAGGAACGGGGTGGTTTTTAGTCAGTAAGAGTCTGACACTCCCTCCCGCCTCACCCAGGCGGGAGTAGTCATTCGATGATTTTCCCCCCTTAAAAAAAATACCATGCAGTCGGAAGTCTTTAGGAGGCGTATGTTCAGCAAGGGATGTCATTTAGCTGACGATGCTGTATGACTTGACGATTCAATGTAATAGGAATGATCCTATTATTAAACATCCAACAAAATTTTGACCTCAACTATTAGTCATTGTTGTTTTGAGTCTGTGTATGGTGTGTATGTGAAATTATATGTGTATAAATGCACCCACAACACAGGAAAACATCTTGGAGTAGGCGTTCATGACCAACAAGGCAGTCTTTAACCCAAAGCCATAAGTCTCAAAATCGTATGAAAAGAAAGAGGTAAAATGAATGAAGAAAATGAAAGAACAAAGTGTAATGCTTATGTACTATTACCATGTTTAGTTTAATTACAAGCAACTATTTAATGATATTCGAGTTATCATACATAATTATAAACTCACACACTACTGTTAACAATGTTAACAAACATTTTATAAAGCAATGTTAACAAACTTCTTTGTTAACACACATTTTTAAAAGTAGTTTAACAAACTTGTTTTAACAAATATTAAGGAATTGTTATATTTAATTAGGTACATGTTTTAAGTGCTTTAACTTTATAAATGGTTGACATTCAATACTTTTTTGGATACCTATAGTGAATTGTGATAAATTATAGTTTCCTATGTACAAGATTTTGAGAAAAATATGACTTGATATCACCAAACCAATTTAAAAGCGTGATTTTGTAATGTCAACACAATTTTTAACCGAGGAGAATATCCAAATAAGAACATTTCTTTTATTTATTATTTCCTTACATGAAAATATTTGTTAACATTATTAACAATGTGAGAGTACCAATATACATACATACATACATACAGACAAACAAACATACAATACATACAATTTCGTCGTAGCAACATTATCACAATTTGTATATTTATTTACATATTTCAATACGTAAGTACTAGGTAGGATAGGATTTAAAAATTTTTTGAAACCCTTTCATTAGCCGACTTCAACAAAAAAGAGTAATTGTATTTAGATTGTAACAAATAGAGGTAGGCTATAGATTTTATGCAAGTTTTAGATTATTGATTACATTTTAGTATGTAGCTTTAGGTTCGATTCCCCGGTTGAAAAAGTACTATAGTTTTTAAGTACCGATTTAGCATGCAAATTCAGATATGGTGAAATTATCGATAATTTTGAGCAAATCGAACCCAAACCATATCAAAATCTAATCAACATCTACCACATGCAGAAACCAGGAACAACGCTTCAAAATACACAGGGTGTTTCAAAAAATTTCAAGTAACAATTTAAACTTAATTATTTTTTTCAAAATTAAGTAATTAGATAAGTACAATTAAGTATCATCGCGCGACAATCTCAAAAACTACTCAAACATAATTAGGATAGATTAAATTTATAGATAACTTGTATGCAAAATGGCAATGTGTGACAAGGATGGAAAATTAAACGTGAGTGTTAGAACGAGACAGACTGATAGGAACATAATTAAGACTACAATAATCTAAAAGGGATAGACAGGGATGTTTCTGTTACTACCCATTTTTAACCAATAATTAATTGAACTATAAGAGCACAGTTCCAAAATCAATGCTATACATATTAATAGGAATTTCACAAAACGAAATACTCAGTAATACAGGAATTCAATCCAAGTCCTGTTACTCGACAGTCATAGTTAAAACAACTCGATTAGCTATATAGCAACTTAGTTTTCATTAGGGGACGCCTATGTTCAGCAGTGGGTGATGAGCCTAGTTTTTTACTTCAGAACAACCAACATTGCCATTGCACATAGAAGCCCATCTACAAAACAGCTTAGCACCAAAAATACACTGAAGAAAAAAAAACCGAAATATTCGAGAGAGTACTGTCAATTCATGAAACTTTCATTATTCTGTATCTTTCATTCACTTTTAACTATACACTATGGCCATAGACCATAAGTTCACTTAGCTAAACTTGTTACAGTCCGATTGGCACTAACACTGGATTTATCAACACAAAATTCACTTTTTGGGCACTTGCACAGGTTTTGGGCACTTGCACATGTTTAGGTGCATTTGCACAGGTTTGGCGCACTTGCACATGTTTAAGTGCATTTGCACAGGTTTGGCGCACTTGCACAGTTTAGCCGAACAATGTCTTTAGGTCTTCTTCGTAGAGGGCTATGACCAGCATGATGCCGATGCCTGTTGCAAGCCCCATAAGTTGCAGGATGCACTGGCAGAGAGTCCCTTCTTTGCTGTGCGATGTACTTAGCTCTGGCATCTGTGGAATAATGGGAAATTGTTAGTAAATGCCATTTTATACAAAGTGGTGTCACTATACACGATGTGGTGAGAATAAGGCGAAGTCACCTTTGCTTTATGTTAAACTACTATACGAAATACACATACATTTTTTATTTTAATTTGCCCTCTCACACGAGCGTGGTTACAGAACCGAAACCAGACCTAGATTAAAAACAATTTGAAGATCATGTGATTCAAATTGTTCTTTATGTAAAGAACTTTGCGAGAATCGAACTCACAAAGCATCTCATCACTCAACATACTATTACACAACAAGGTATACTGACCATATCAACAAGAGCGATGTACAGGAACATGCCGGCGGCGGCTGCGAACAGCCAGCGAGTGGCGGACGGTGCATGGCCAGCCAGGACCCCACACACCATGCCCAGCAGGCACAGACCCGACGACAGCACGTTGTAGGCAACTGCGCGACGTACTGACATACCTGCTTTTAGGAGGACTGCGAAGTCTCCTGTGGAAGAAACATAGTATTAATAAAATAACCGTCATTATATCAGTCATACATCATAACATCACGCCTTTTATCCCCGAAGAGGACATTATACCACTGTACAATGTAACACCCACTTTTCACTATTTATGTTACGAGTCCCATGTAATAGGGGGTGAGCCTATTGCCATATAACGGGCACAATTCCAGATTCCGTGCTACTACTGAGAATATTTAAAAAACCCAGTAATACTTTGCCCGACCCGGGAATCGAACCCTTTGCCCCGCAGTCGCACATACGACCACTCGGCCAACGAGGCATTCTTAGAGTTGTAAATAGAGATGGGCTTTAATCGACATAAAAAAGGAGGTTCTTAGTTACCTGTATTTATAAATTTATATTTGTGTGCAATTACCTCGCAATTGGTTGAAGCGATTTTAATGCGGTTTCCAGAAAAGTGTTCGTTCCACGTAGGACAAGGGTTTAGTATATTAATTCAAAGAAGAGATGGCGATTTTTAAACGTTGTTTATATAAGAATTATATGTTATCCGATTTGGGCATTTAGCCCAAAATTGATAAATTCTCTAGTCACAAGATCTCCAGTCCTGAACATAGGCGTGTCCTAATAACTTCTCGATCGACCGATTCTAGTTTTAATTTAAACGGGTTTATTCACATGAGTGGACTCAATTTCAGGGTTTCCCGCAGAGCTTTGATAATACTGTTACCTATTTAATAAGTATTTAAAGATCGTTTACCATCCATAATTGGAGATCGGGCCTTTGAAATTGTAACTAGGACACATACTATTATAAATTGAATGGGTTCATAGAATATGACAAATCCAAATAACTCTTTGATTAGCGAAACAGTAATAGACTGATAGTAATTATAAGTGTTCTGCTTACCCAATTCATGAGGCAGTTCGTGGCACAGCACCGCTATAGCTGTTGAGAAGCCACCAGCTATGTTGGACGCGAACGCGGCACCTGGAAATCAAACAATTGTAAATTAATCACTAGTGGAAAAGGGAAGCGAAAACATATCTTATTGCTTGGGAAATAAAGTAGATCTTATACAGGAAGATACGGAAACGGCAACCTGGCATTTCTATGAAGACAGTGTAGTTTTATACTAAAGTCTCCATACGTAGTTATGCTAGATAGAATGTGGTTTTACTGCAGTTTCAAACGTGTCAATAAGGCCAAAATAGTGGTCATAAAATTAAGTAAATTTCAGAGCAAGACCAAAAAGAAATCCACTGAATCTTGGTTTCCACTTCAATATACTACTGAAGTCTCATGAAAAAGAAATGGGATAGATTAGTAATGAGTTACGGATCAACTATGGTATGTAATAGGTAAGTGGTCAGCACAGCCATAGATACCAGCAACACAAGAAGCTTACCGACCTCTTTTAGACCTCCGGTAGCGTAACTCACGACAAAATGGACAAAAGAACATTACCACGAAGATCGTTGTCCACCACTGCACTGGTCTAAATCAAAACAATAGCATGAATAGTTTTAAGATATTTACCAATAGCCATGCCGTCCGTGAAGTTATGAAGCCCATCTCCCATGATGACCATCCAGGCTACGGAGGCGATGGACGAGGGAGGGGCGTGCACGTGGCCGTGAGCGTGGGAGTGTCCGTGGTGCGCTCGTGAATGCTCTCTGGAAGAAGGGATGACAATGAAGATGAGACGAAGATTTTTATTAGGTCAGCGCTACTTAAGGGGGCTGCTGATTATTATTATTTATACGAAATTAACAAACAATGAAAATGAGTCGAGAATGAAAATTACAACAAAAAAGATCAAAGACACAAATGTATAAAATTTTCAAATTACGAGGCCATTTTTGTAAAACTACACCTTAGACTAATGAGATTCATTATGTATTTAACAGAATATATTTTTATCTTAACCATCTGTAGTGGAAAAAAATCACGAAAGAAAACTCAAATAAAACAAAAACTTACCTCAAAATAACAGTATAACTATCCCCATCCTTGAGATCCTTGGAACCGTCCTCTTTATGCTTGATATTGTTCATTTCCACCACTGCAGGAGTCGTCTCACCCTTCAGCAGCCAGTCCTTAGCTGTCGGTTCCTCCTTACCTTCAGCATTGAGAGCATTCGAAGACACCACACTAACGGAGTTATTATGCTTCTTTCCATGCTTTGGACTTGAAGGTATACCGTCTCTTAAGTGGTGATCATCATGAGTGTCCGTGTCGATCTCGTCATAACAATAAGGGTACTCCGAATATTTGTGCTTACAAGTCTTCGTTGTAGGGTCACCCTTCTCGTCTCTCTTAAAGATTTTCATTAAAGAATTTGATGTGGAGTTCGTTATTACGGCTTTGGAACCTCCTGAACATCCTCCTACTGTCTCATCTTTAAGAACTCGCACCCTAGTCGGGAGTTTGTCCTCTTCCAACTTTTGGCGGCGTTTTCTCCATTCAACTACAACTGTTAGCCCCTTTTCGGTAAAGTAGAAGAAGACTACTCCTAACATAGCTGCGAGTCCCTTCCACATGCCATCGTCATGCGAGGCTCGTACTTCTAACTCTGTCTCTCCATGAGCTCCATGGTCATGAGCTGGACTCATGGCATGAGGCATTAGATGCAGTAAGGCATCTCCACATAGTGTACCAACTGCCAATGCCACTAAGAACTGTAGGAGATGATTGTAATAAGTTTTATGCATGATTGGTATGACAGCTACTCCTAAAAGACCACAGGCACTTATTGCTAGTATACATAAGGATGAATATAGCCAGACAGCGTACATATTTTTATGGTATGCACTTTCTTCTGGTACGTGTTTTATTGTGACGTCAGTTCTTCTTCCTATGCTGGTTTCTTTTATGCATCCTGTGCGTTCTATGGAGGTATTGGCTAGTTTTTGGTATAGGAGTATGGGACATATAGTCTGTAGTGTGGTTTCTGTGATGATGGCGTCCGACTCGTGGTCGTGGTCGCCGTGTTCTGTGTGTGAGTGTGGGTGTGAGTGGTCGTGTGCGGGTTTTAACCGCGTGTTCACTGTTGTGATTAGGTCGGAGCTATTCATACACTGAAAAGAGAGAAATAATGAGTTAGAATATTAGATTAGGAGACTTAAATATGCCATTACATGTTGTTATTTCAAATTGAAATGGTTTTAGGCTATAAGATCTTAAAAGAGTTCGATCGATCTTTTCTATTAAATCTAAATTCTATTACTTTATAATTTTGGTAAACTGATATTTATGAATTTAAGATAAATTAAAAAATATACACAAAAACTCACATTAACAACATCCTCTTTTCCATTCTGTCCGTGGAAGTATCCTCGGCTCTCACTTCTCTCTCCGCCCTCAACTAATTTATGTAGATCTAATTCTTCTAGCATCTTGTTGAACCCAGTCAAATTCATCGTCATACTACCAGCGTCACCGTATAATCTAAAAATCTGCGTCACATACGTATCTGGATTCACTTTGATCTCTCTCTTGGCCTTCCCTTGTCTAATCTTCTGTAACTTCTGATGATATCTCGACGATGGTAGTTTTCTTTTCTCTTCTAAGTCTATATTTAAGTGGTCGACATCATTAATATTAGCATCGTATGTAAGTACTCCGTCGTTTTGTATGTCTATGTGTGAGCCGCATGAGTGCGCTGCGCATAGCAGGCAGAACATGCAAACGGTTACTATGTGTCGCGACATTGTTATGCTTAGTCTAATTTGATTGGCTTATATTATAATATAAGGCTAATCCATTTGTTTTGTAGCGGCGAGTGATTGGCTGATTTTGATCTGTGGACAAAGAAAGAGAAGATTTAGGAACTATGTCTTAATTATAGAGTAATAAGTGTGAGAGCCATGCTTCGGTACGAATGGGCCGGCTCGACCGGAGTGATACCACACAGAAAACCGATACCCAATTCACGAATCCTCAATAATCCTCAAATTCCTAAACCCCTAAAGGCCGGTAACGCACTTGTAACACCGGGTGTTTCAGGTGTACATGGGCGGCGCCGATTGATCATCGGCGGTCCGGTGCTCGTTTACCTGCGCATTCCATAAAAAAAACATCTGTGCACCACAATGAACAAGGAACGAAAAGATATTCTACCAAAATAAAAACTCTGTCAAACTGTAGGATTTCATACTTTTAGTGGCATGCGGTAACTGCATAATAGATGCTTTAATCGTCACGAACTACTTAAAATGTGATTGATTTCGAACTACAAAAGTGCCAAGCACGAATAACTATCGCATTCGTATCGAGCGAGTTAAGCGTTCTGATTGGTTGGTTCACTTGAGCCGGCCAATCAGAGCGCCGAACGCGCTCGATACTATTACTTACGAATGCGATAGTTATTCGTGCTTGGCACTCTGGTATGTAAATCTAGCATGTCAGGAAGGTTTAAGTCATGAGAACAAACATACAACATTCAAGTGAATTTGCAGACAAAACTATGTAAGGCATTATAAGGCAAGTAAATAATGAAGTAACGAAAAAAGTATACACATTTAACCTACATATTAAGTATATTGACGTCATTGCTACATCTGTTTTGCTTGTCCCTAAAGAACAAATATCAAGTACAAACGCGAAAGTAACTTCGTTTGTAACGCTTTCACGGTGAAACCACTAGACCGATTATGGTGAAAATTTATGCGAAAATAGGTTGAAAACTGGGAAAGTATGTAGCTATATGTTTTAAATCAACTATGTGAAGTGAGGATAAGTCAAGTGACTATGCGGGTAAAATATTCAAAGACTTAATACTATAATCACTTGATACATCGTACTGAAAATCCCAAAAATTTGTTCATACAAAAGTAGTATCTAAACATCAGAAATAAAGTCTATAATGGAGTGGAGAGCGGTAACCGGTGACTGCTTGGGCTTGATCAGTAGTACAAAATTTGGGGCAGAGTTTATGAACGTTGTTACTTCGAAATTCGTTTTAATGAAATTCTGTATAGACTTAGAATCAACCCTAATAATACTTCTTTCACTCACTACTTTCATAACATCACCAAAAGGGTAGGCAGAGCTCAGAGCTGCACGTCTATACTGATATTATAAAGCTGAAGAGTTTGTTTTTTTGTTTGTTTGTTTGAACGCGCCAATCTCCGAAACTACTAGTCTGATTTGAAAAAATTCTGTCTGTGTTAGATAGCCCATTTATCGAGGAAGGCTCTATAGCCTTCCTAGCCTTCTTAGCCTATGCTAAAAAATATCACGCTATGTTTAGCCCCTTGAGCGTCCTTATGAGCACCCGGTGGATCATAAGAAAAAATGCTTCATGCTGCTTTCTCTTTTATAAAATCTATTATTAATGTTTTGTTTTTATTTTGACTGTATTTGTTTTATTCCTATTGTAATGATCCTTGTTTTCGTGTGCCAATGGCCAAATAAATGCATTTTCTTCCTTTTTTTCTCCAAATGTCACGTGTGCACCCGTTGGATCATAAGGAACGCGGACGCTCAACGGGTTAATACAGCAGAGCGAGTGAAACCGCGCGGAAGTAGCTAGTATTAAAATATAACACCTAATTTTTACACTGTCTGTCTGACTGTCTAAAAGGAGTGTATATGTTTTATCAAGCTATGTTACCGTGTCAAGTGTAACACGGAGTCGATCGACAAACTACAAACAAAATACATAGTAGAAATAACTTCAACTAAAAAGATAAGTTTAAAATAAAATTATTAACTTGTAAAATTTGTTAAAATCAATTTTTGTCGTTGACCTTGGGCTAGATATTCATAGCGGGATGTTTTTTCCTTTTAACACTTTTAAATGTTCACCATTCTTTTATTTTTTATTATTTGTTTTGTTTGCGTGTTTTTATTGTTTTCTTTTTTATTAATGTGTTTTGTTGTTTTTATATCATTTTAACGACTTCTACGAAGAAGTGTTCGCAAAACTGCTGAGCAAGTTTTAGTACAAGTACCTACAATAAAAGTATATTTTGTTTCTATTTTTTTTGTAGTAGGTAGGTATTTATTGAAAAATATTCTTGTTTTTCTTACAGTTACAATACCATGAATGTAAACACAAGTTTTTTAGTATTAACAAGTACATATTGGCAAATACTCATTTCCTCAGTTGTTAAATTCATGCTAAACGTAAACGCATATAATTTATTATTCATCTCTAAGCTAAAATTCATCATCGGCCCTTACAACCTTAACCCTAGATTTACCACACTGTTTCTAAAGAACCATATATGCACGTTTCTTTTTCAGTATCGTAATCCAAGGATACTCAAGGGGACAAATGCCGTGCGACACTTGTCGCCAGCGATGTTGGGTGAAGTAGCGTGACGGCGACTTTGGTCGACATGTCTGGCAACATCAACGTCACTGTGGACATAAGGCACGCGTTGTCGCAAACCATAACACACGCCTTTTATCCCCGAAGGTGTAGGCAGAGGTGTACAATTAAACAAAATAAAATGCCACTTGTACAATGTAACACCCTAGCACTATTTATGTTATGAGTTGCATGTAATAGGGGGTGAGCCTATAGCCATATACCGGGCACAATTCTAGACTCCGTGCTACTACTGAGAATTTATAAAAAAAATCCAGTAATACTTTGCCCGACCCGGGAATCGAACCCGAGATCCCTTGCCCATATAACATCCTTAAATACCAAAATGAATAGTTGCGACATTCACTTCCTAACCAAATTCTAAAGAAATATAAATAACACCTTCAATCGGCAGTAAGATCAAAATTAACAAAAAAATCAGCTACAATATAGTGGGTACACAGTGGAATACACCGCTTCATCGCCACGCGTATTTAGCTATATAATCGATTCGTCACAAATTGTTACAATGTCGACATTTTCAACAAAAACTATGTTCATCTATTATCTATTTTATTTACAACATTTTCACGAAAGACTGACAACCTGTTTTTCATTGTAAAACCACAATAACAAACCTGTTTAGGCAAGAATGAGTCATAGATTGGACTAAGTCAAGGTAGACGTAATTTTCAAAAAGTGAAATGACATGTTCTGACTCCAGAATCTGCTCATTTTGTGCTGTTTGAGCCACTATAGCATATAAAAATTACTAAAAATATCACCGCTGTATCATCTGATAATACCACTGTCTAATTTGGTAAAAGATCAGCATCTTCGGAAGCAAATGGATGATGGATGCGCAAAACCTGGGATGAAATGACTGCTGAACATAGGGCCTCTATAAAAGCAATTGAGATGATGACAGGGTATGAAAATTAAAAATCTTATTCGGAAGTTAGGTAATGAAAAAATATTAGACACGTATTTTATTATTTTGTCGTAAGTATAATAAAACAATACTTAGAAAAAAAACTAATCTAACTTCAGGAGTGGGGGCTAAAACGTCATTTCTACGTATAAAATGTACATAGAAGTGACGTCACGCGACATTTCAAATCAATATATCGTCGAAAGTATTCGTTTCTGTAAGAAAATAAAAAATACGTGTCTTATGATTTAAAATAATCTACCAGATGGACATTAAAATAAAAATTAGGCATCTACCCTATTTTAGTAAATCCTCAAATGAAAATTGTGACCTTGGACTAAACTAAATTTATCAAACTCATAAAACAAATTAATTAAGATACGCCATAAAAAATAATTAGAATGCACCAAAAATAAGAGAACGCGCGCTTGCTACTGGCCCGTCTAAATATATCTATGCGTTTGCGCATCACAAGTTCAAGGCGTCCAAAGTGATCTAGTTTCGAGATTTTTTGTTACGAACTGAGATTTATGCGTAGAAAATCTCATTTTATATACGTAACTAGTATACACTTTGATTAAAAATGAACAGATAGAATGTTTGTGGGCGCGAATCTAGAGAATTATTGCACAGAATTGGATAAATTCTTCAAATGTGTTAGCTAGAATATTTATAAAACCATTGACATAATTTGTTGCGAATACTTTTAAGGTTTGTTTTTCCTAGCGAAATAAAATAAAATATATTACATACTCGATTGAAAATCACAATAGCGTTCACCGATCCATTTCTAGACCTTGCGCTGCTACACGCGGCTTCGTGAAAGTGTTCCAAATAGAAAACAATAATGCACAGCACGTGACAGTTGGGTGCGAACAAAAATATTGTAATTTTACATTGCAGGTTAAGCTACGCAAGGCGAGGTTAGATTTTGGATGGGTGGCAATTGTTATAACTTTAAAGCGACCTAGGTATTCGTGGGTCGTGTAGATTAATCTCTGATGACACTGAACGTTTTAAAGAGCGATCTACAACTTGCCTGCCAAACCCGGAGAATATGGCACACCTTTATAAGCAGGAGAAGTCTCTAGCCCATCTGTGGACCGCTAGGTACTGTTTACGAAGTTATTATGAGAATATATATCGATTTCCTTTTATAAACATAAGGTTATTACAATACTTTCGTAGATAACAACGAGACATAAAATTATATTACTATTTGCTTATCAACTGTGTTAATTGTTAATTTAGGTACAACATTCATTACTATACACATATTAGTCTACTTTCTTTGTTGCAAAATGTTATAAAGTAAGTCATGGTTTTAGTATTAACAATATCTATTATAATATATCTGTAGTAATAACATATCTATTGGAAATATGTATATGCAAACGTGTAACAGTTTTTGAATCTTTCGGACATAAATTTTTAGTATAAGCCGGCAAATGAGGAGACTGATT